GTTTTCGGGAAATAGAGATAGAGTAGTAGTAAGAGGCTTGTAGTCTGGACCCAAACCAGCCAAAACAGACTGAAGTAACTCTTTATGCGAAACAGGAGAATTAATAGCGGCTAGAGCATCAACTAAATTCTTGATTTCCCGTAAATAAGCTTCCATGGATTGAGTTTCTTTCTTCTTGACATTGGACAATAATCGTTTAAGTTCCATGCATCGGGGTAAACTGGCAGACATAAATCTAGTCTGAAGTCTAGCCCAGATAGCAGCTGAGTGTTTCAAATCATGAACATCAACTAACACATCCCGAGTTAGAGTAGCAAACAACCAACATCTAATTGTTTGATCCACTCGGAGCCAATAATGATATTCTGTGTTTGGAACTGGACGATTTAGATAATCAAAGTTATACATGGAGGGTACCTGAATTGAGCCATCTACCATGCCAAACAATCCTTGAGATACCAAGAAGGATTCGAACTGTGTGCGCCAGGTGAGATAATCTTCGACAGCTTTCAATTTAATGGTGACAATTTGAGAGACCGTGGTGATATGCGCCACAGATTGGGCAAGGGCTGCCATTGGAGAACAATGACCCGACTGATCATCTGGACGAATCACCCCCGGAGAACCGGAGAAGGTGGAGCCAAAAAACGAGGAAGCCGGGACTTGAGGGCTGGAGAAGGCCTGTTGCTGCGGCTGAATAGATGCCTGTGGCTGGAAAACCGGTTGATGTTCCGGAAAAATAGACGGCCTGGTAGAAACATAAGGGGGATTGTCAGCCATGGAAAAAGTTGGTGGTGGAGGAAAATTGGTGAAGAGAAGGGAGGAGGCCGGCCGCAACAAGGGAGAACCGGACGTAGGGGATAGATGTGCAGCGGAGGAGGTGAAGACCACACTTGGTTGGAGGATCGATGTTGAAGAGAATTCCGGTGCCGAAGAAACGGCCGAGCTCATGGCAGCCGAAGCCATAGCGGTGGAGGGGGAGGCGGACGAAGCCATCGTCCGATAGTAAGGAACGAGAGAAAAAAAAAATTAGGTTTGGGCTCTTGATACCATGTGAAATAATGGGAAAGAGGTACTCCAATAGGAGTCCTGGCAGGTATATTTATATTAAACGAGAGTTTCCAAAAGACACAAAGATTCCTAAATTATATAAACTATTATATATGAGTTCCTAGTTATTATTATTCCTATCATATTACTTTAATTAATAGTTTCTATCATTTGTAATGGAGACAAAGATTTATTATTTTTTGGCTTGAGAATATGATAGAATAAAGTAAAATGACTCACTAAACTGTCTGCGCTAATTTGTTATGAAGCAGCAGTCAGTCCATGCAATTTTGGACGCGATTTTCACTATGATAATCTGGAAACAGTCTCTTTGTACTTTAGTATAGGGGTCATACTGCGTACATCCGACCTCCCTTTAACCCACCATAGTTGGGGGAGCCTTTGCGGCGGCACTGGGGTAAATAAAAATGATGATGACGATACTCCGTATTACTTTAATATCATGATGATGATCATCATTGATGATATACTTTTTTTTATGATGATGATGATATTACTTTAATTAATGGCATGCTTGATTTTAATTCTCCCTATGTAGGCGGCCAATTAATTTGCACCATTAGAGAAACTGTGTGATGTTCAATTTGGTCATACACTCGTACGTCGAGCCCATATTGAAAACATACGAGTTCAAGTATATATATGGTCATTTTATTGAAAAACTCGTGGGGTTTTGTAATATTAAGATATTTTTCCCTCAATATTATATTATTATATAAGTAATACTTCCTCCGTTCTTGTATAATTTCAACAGTCCACTTTTCACGCTTATCAATGAATAAGCTGGAGTATTAATATTTTTCATTCCTTATTAGTAAAGAAATTTTTAAAAAATCAGATTTTGAAAATTTAAAATGAATTTATAATATATTAATAAATAAAATATAGTTAAAGTATAATACGTTAATAGTGCAAAAAAGACCAATGTTGTAATTAAAAGAGAATGCAAGTAGTATATACGGAGTTTTTCCAAAAACAAATCATACGTAATTTGTAAATCCAATCCTTTATTTTTGTTGTAATTTCTCTTTTCTCACAGTATATGTACTGTTCTGTTAAATGCTAAGGGTCTGTTTACTAACAGAGATATTTTCCAGTTTTCCAGAAAACTGGAAAACTGGAAAATAGAAAACAGGAAACGTGTTTACCAAAGAAATTCCTGGAAAACTGGAGAAAGGAAAAAAGAAAAATGCATTTACCAAATCGTTTTCCAAAACGGAAAAATGAAACATGTCTCTCTTTTCCTTAATGATTTGGAGAAGTGACTTTTACTAGTTTTCCAAATTTGGAAAACGCAGATGCTACAGTGTCGCTGCAATGAATTTGCATACTTACACCTGGAGGTGGGTCCGGTCCCGCTCCGATGTCGATTCCATTCCGGTACCTCCATCCTCGTACCTTACCCCTTACCCCTACCCTACCCTACCCTACTACCTTACCCACTCAACCCAACCCCACATACCCATTTTTCCTATAATGACCCTACCCCACCCCGGCCCCACCCCGATCCACCCTACCCTACCGCCACCCCCCTACCACCTCGACGCCACCCCCGACCCACCCTACCCTACCCCCACCCGTATATTACCCCTTACCCCTTACCACATGCCCCTACCTCGGCCCCACCCCACCGACATCCTACCCCCACCCTCATACCGCCATCCTATTCCCACCCTTCCGCCATCCGACCACCATCTTACCCCCCACCCTACCCTTCCCCTACCTCGACCCCACCCTGATCCCGGGCCCACCCTATCACCATCCTATCCCACTACCCCTACCTTACCCCAACCCCAACCCTACCCACTACCCCCACCCTTACCGCCATCCTACCCCCACCCCTACCCCTTCCCTACCTCAGCCCCACCCTGATCCCGGCCCCACCCGACTGCCATCCTATCCCAACTCCATACCCTACCTCTACCTTACCCCAAACCCTACTCACTACCCCGCCCTTACCCATAACCACGACCCTAACCCACCAACTACCCCCACCCAACCCCTACCCTAGACCTTACCACCCCACCCCGACCATACCCCACCCCCACCTATAACTTCCCTACCCCGACCCCTACGAGTAGGTATGGATGGGTATGAAAGGTTGTGGGGGAGTATGGGTAGAGTGTAAGATCGTGGTAAGGATAGGGGTCAAGGGTATGAAATGGGAGAACTGGGTGAAAAAAATGATGAACATGGAAAACTAAAAAATAGAAACAGAAAATTGGAGATAAAAAAACTGAAAAATAAAAACAGAAAATTGGAGAACGAAAAACAGAAGTAGAAAACAGGAAAATATCTCTGTTAGTAAACAGGCCCTAACATTTTTTATTAGCATAAGTTTCGAACTTGTGACCCCTGTCTTAGAAGTGTCACAGCGATGCCATCAAACCATAAGCTAAGGTATTTGGCAACGATATTATGCATCTTATGGACGCTACCCGCGTCATTTTCGTTATTCATAAATACATATGCATTCTGCATGCAAGACGGATGCTTGTAGGGGCTATTGTGGGTTCCAGCCCAGCCAAATTTTTTAAAAATTATAGATATAGGTTTATAAAAATTGGTGTTCATCTTAGCTCAAAAAAATCAAAAGCCCAATTTAGTATAGGTCTTAATATTAATTTAAAATGTAATTCATAATTGCAGTCTTTGTATTGCCCAAAAAATCAGTCTTTGTAATTTTTAATACGGAGTACATCATATTTCATCATATACAAATGAAGATGATGATTATGATGATGATGATAAACGACATTAATATTGATTTTGATAGTAATAATAATAATTGTAATAATAATAGTAGTAGTAACAATAATTATAATAAAAATAACAACAACAACAACGTAACAACAACAATAGTAATAATCATAATCATAATAATAATCATAATCACAATCATAATTACCAATACAACCTTGCACTTTCAAAAATCAATTAAATACCTTCTAAGTTTTGATCATTCTTACCGTTTGCCCTCTCACGTTTGTATTTGTTAAACTAAATTTAATATAACTCTCAAATTAAATTAAAATTGTCTACAAATTTACTTTAAAAGTAAATATCAATTTATTATCATAATTATAAAGCATTGTTGTTGATCATGATTTTTCTACTTATCTATTCGTGAAAAGTATTAATGAGAGTACTTAAGGCAGAAGACTCACACGACACAAATAATATTCATGAGATACATAAAATTAAAATGGTTGCTTAAAGTATGTGTTATCGAAAATCTATGCACTTTTTCATCACGAATATTAAAATCTCATTTGTAAGTCATCCGGCAAATTATAATTTCAATGACATTTGTCTCGTGTGTAGGAAAAAAGAAATATCAAGAAGAAAGAATGATTTGTAATCATGATCATGGGTTATGTTAACTTATAAAAACATATATTTTAGAAAACTTTCATCAGATTGAACATATATGAAGTTAAATATAATTAATGTTATCCGAAAAGATAGATAGTTTGAATAATAAAAATTCGAAAGGTTAATAATTGATTTTTAAAAATGCAAAATTGAATTAGTTATTTTTACCTAACCTGGGAAGGCAGTAGTAATTATCCCAATGTCTAATTGTCTATAAATTAATTAGAGTTTTTTCTAGGCAATAACTTACTCTAAGAACTATCAAAAGATAAGTTTTGCCTAAAAACTACCCTCTATTCTCTAAAACTTTGCTAATTTTTCTTTTTTGGATGTCTCACTAACTTTGTTATTTTATCTTTTAAATAGAGAATTTATGATCCCATTTAATTCCATTTTCTCTGCACAAACCCTAATCACACAATTTTTACTTTATTAATCTTCATAACGGTCAAAGTTGACAAAATGTTAAGGGACGAAAAGAGTAATATTAATTAAAAATTATGCCTTAAAAGGCAGGAAGCTGTGGACTGTGGTCTGTGGGAGGGGTATTGGTCTATTGGACCAATTTGTTTCGTTGACCAAGGAGAGCGCGACTATTCATGCCCTATTACTGTATGTGTATCAGTTCTCGACGAAACGACAACTGGTGGCTTAAATGCGCGAGTTGCCACTTTCCTTTTCACAATCTCATCAAAGTCGCCCTTTTTCAAGTGCCAAGTGTTCTTCTCTCTCGCCGATTTTGTAGGTGCACCACCACTCGGATCTTCTCTCCCTCCCCCTAATCACACTCTTAGGTTTTTCTTCTCTCTAATTCCATTGGCTTTCCTTTTTGCTTGTACGCTGGACTCAGCCCCTCGTTCTCCGAGGCGGCTAAGGTGATTTTTGCTGATTGGTTGAATAACTCTTTCATTTGGCCATCTGAACTTTCGATTTGCTGCGTTTTTTGTTCCTTCATCTCAGGTTTATTTCTTTAATTAATCGCCGGGAGGAATCGGAGAGTTCACCCGGGATTGCTTCCGTTCAGGTTCCGATTTCTCCCTGAGATGTACACAGTGTGCGAGTGTTTTTATTGCAAGTGGACTACTCCGCAAAAGTTTGTGCTCGAATTCATACTTGAGAAATTTGTGAATAATGAACATGCATGCTGGGGTTCGTATACTTTTATGTTTGAGATCGGTGGACTTGGTAAAAAAAACCTTTTTTTTCGATCAGATATCAATCGATCTTATTAGATCCTTGGCTTTCTGTGTCTTTAGATCTATTTGAGTTTAGCTTTTCAACTTTCTTGGTTTGTGATAAACTTTATTGGGTTGCCTGAGCTGTTTACTTCTCATTTGAGGCTTACAAGTGTGCTAGTGATTGGGTTTTGACTGATCTGGATTAAGTAGTTGGCACAACTGATGGCTTCTTATCGCAAAAGGTCTCTATGCCCAGTTTTAACCCAAAATTATACTCCGTACTTAAGGATTAAGGAATCAGCTTCAGTTAGTTAGCGAGTTTCATTAGTTAGAGAGTATACAGTTACTATACACCATCACGAAGTGTAGGATCCATTACTAACCTACTTCAAAAATTTCCATCTACAACAACTCTGTCCTGTAGAATTTGAGCATAAAAGTTATACCCAGCATCAATAAATGTTTTTAAACTTCCTGATTAAAAGTAACTTGGAATGAAAATCTGGTAATATCAAGTTAAGAGCTATGAGCTATGTAAATGGAATACCATACTTGAGAATAACCAAAGATATTACTCCCTCCCGCCCTTAAAGAACTTCCTATATTCTTTTTTGTGATGTCTTTGAATGAAGTCATTTTCCTTATTTGTTGAAGAAATTCTTACTCTACTACCCTTAAGTAATTAATGACTTTACGGTGTCGAAAAAGGCCAAACAGTGTGCTTTACATTAATATTTACCCTTAGTAAAATGAGCAAATCAAAGACAAATTCTATATCTAAAAAGTCCGTGCTCGTCTTGAAAACACTCATCTCTTTTTGAAGCTATTTAAAGAGAACCGTATGAACTGCTTTCCTTCTTTTATCATGCAAGGGAGTTTCTATATATTCTAAAAACGCTGCTTACCAGTTGCAGAGTTGTAGATAGTCTTTAACATCCTTGTCTCTATAATGTCCACAGACCCCCTTCCCCCATTGTTTGGGAGCTTTGGCACTTCACTGGTCTAGATGTCCTGTGACTGCTGTGGTGGAATCAGTTTTTCGATAAAATGATCTATGATTCATTACTATTCTTCCATTAAACTATCCTTAGTCAATGTAAATTAGTATAATTAGTATAGTGCTTAGAGGAGATAATTGTTTCATCTCTCTATTTCCCTTTTTAACTACTAGCATTGCTTGAATGGTATTGGACAGGCATTAAAATATCTTCAGCGTCCCAAGTGAGTCCTCTGAGAGAAAATGGATCAACATGGAAATGGACAACCACCAGGTATGGGGGTGACCACCTCTGGTTCAGTGGCATATGGTGTTCCCTCGTACCAGGCTAACCAAATGACAGTGCCTACATCTGTGGGTCCTATCCAATCTCCGCAAAATCTAGGTCTTCCTGCCTCTTCAACTCAGATGCCACCACACCAACTTGCATATCAACACATGCATCAACAGCAGCAACAACAGTTGCAGCAACACCTTCAAACTTTCTGGGCAAACCAATATCAAGAAATTGAGCAGGTTACTGATTTCAAGAACCATAGCTTGCCGTTGGCTAGGATCAAGAAAATCATGAAGGCCGACGAAGATGTGAGGATGATATCAGCGGAGGCACCTGTTGTTTTTGCACGTGCTTGTGAGATGTTTATCCTTGAATTGACTCTGCGTGCTTGGAGTCACACTGAGGAGAACAAGAGGAGGACACTTCAGAAAAACGATATTGCTGCAGCCATAACAAGGACTGACATCTTTGATTTCTTGGTCGACATCGTGCCACGAGAGGATTTGAAAGATGAAGTGCTGGCTTCAATCCCTAGAGGGACCCTTCCTGTTGGGGCTCCTGCAGAGCTCCCGTATTATTACATGCAAGCACAATCTGCTCCTCAGGTTGTTGGGCCTTCAGGGATGTACATGGGTAAGCCAGTGGATCAATCAACCCCTTATGCACAGCAGCCTCATCCCTATATGGCTCAATCAATATGGCCTCAGCCTCAGCAGCAGCAGCAACCACCATCAGATTCATAACCAGGTGCCAGTAACATATCAAATGTAAGTGTTTTCACTTTTTTTGTATCGTTGCAGTTTGTTTACCATCCATTTCTCCTTTGCCTATGATCCTTCACCTGCTCTTGTATGCACATCTTTCAATTTCATGACACCTGAAAACTCCATCATCTATTTTATCATATTTGCCAAACAGCACCCTTATCTTTACTCTTGGCTTGTAGCATTATAAATCAAAGAGACTTGTGATTTGATGGCAAGCTAAAGATGTACTCCACAGGGTTGATTTTAGTCAAAATAAGATATTCGTTTGAGAATATACATATATTTTGATTCTAAAACGATAAAAACATGCAATGTATATAATATACTTCTGCTGCTTGCCCTGCTTTGGCGTTGCCTGTTCTTTTTCTTTCTTTATGAACACTATTTTAGAAAATCGACTGCAGTAGCATTTTTCTCTGATCCCATGCTGAAAGTACTCTCTCTGTACCAAGTGTGGGTGGAAGAAATGAAACAAGTGCTTAAAGCAGATTTGACTCCATTTCCAACATGTTAAACTAGATCTATATTTATGAATTGTCTTTTCTATGTGGCAACTTATCAGTAGCCACTAGCCATCACATTATATGATTTGGGTGTATACTGTCGCAGTATACTAATCACTCTTCTATAACGAACAGCAGAAAATTTCAACCTGAACACCTAGTAGCACAGGAGAACATCATTGAGCAAGCAGGTTGCACAGTAGAAAGATACTACGGGATGGTAGATGAAACACAGCCAGCTTTAAGCTCTTGTTTCTGATGTAGCTCAATCTGCATGAAATGAACTCTATGGTTCCTATGGTGTATACTTTTGACTGACATGTCAAGAAGAATGTTAAGGCTGTCATTATTGTGAGACTGAAGTAATATCAAACCATTAAGCTGTTTTTGTCTTTGAGTGCTTATCTAATTTTCTCATGTTGTGTTATGTTCTTTGGTTTGAGGGAAAAGGAAACATCCCTCTGTTTGGTTGAAATTTAGGCCTTGTTTGGTTGGAGGATTTCAGAAGAGAGGGGAGGTGTGAAGAATTTGTGTGTTTTTGGTTGAAAGAAATAGGGGGGAGGAAGAGGAAAGTCGATGGTTTCCAAAATCCTTCTCTTCTTCTCTTTCTCAACCCCCAAATCATGGTATTTCAGAGGAAATGTGTTATTAATGGGAATTAAAAAAAATTGAAAAATAGAAAAAAAAATCTATTAAAAATTTGAAAAATTAAAAAATTAAAAAAAAAAAATAGAAAATTGAAAAATTGAAAATTGAGAACTTCAAAAACAATGAAAAAAAACAATTCAAAATTGATAAATTTTAAAAAAATTAAAAATTAAGAATTAACCATTAGAAAAAAAATGAAAAGTTACTTCCTTCGTCCCATTGGACTTTGTCAATTTTTCATTTTTGATTGTCCCAAAAAACTTTGTCACTTTCTCATTAAAGTAACTAATTTGTGTTTCTGCTCGTTTCTCTTTCCTCTGCACAAACTTCAACCAACAATGTTTATTTTTCTTATTTCTCACTTAATTCGAAGAGTGCAAAGTCCATTGGGACGGAGGTAATAAAATGTTAAAAAATATTAAAAATAAAACTTAAAAAAATTAATACAGATTAAAAATTAAAAAACTGAGAAAAATTTATTTTGACTTGAGAACTTAGGTAGTAATATTTATACTCATTATATTTATTTAGCTTTACAAAACAAGTTGTCAAATAAGGGTTAATTAGAGCGGTCGTCTCTAGGAATTTCCCTAGGAGTTTGTACGGTGGTTCTCTAGGAATTTCCCTAGGAGTTTGTCACTCGGTTCGGTGGTTCCTTCCCGGCGTTGGCTTGACGCTTCTCTCCAGAGCTTAGGATGAGCATCCTCAGTTGGAATTGCAGGGGTTTAGATATCCCAACCACATCTCAATGTTTCACAGATTTGATGCAATCAAATAGGCCATCAATCGTTTTCTTGATGGAGACCAAGGTTTGTTGTCAAAAGAGGGAAGGATATTATTCGGACTCATGGCTTTCACGGTTCCTATGGAATTGATAGTGAGGGTATGAGTGGCGGACTGGTGTTGGGCTGGAAAGACGATGTCGAGGTGGAGATTGTGAAGGGCGAGCAAAATTTCATTGATTGTCGAGTAAATCTGAAGGCGGATAAACAACCATAGCGGATGACAGGCTTTTACGGCTTTCCTAAGACTCGATGGAGGTGGTAAGCGTGGACTTTGTTGGAGGATCTGGCTGTGAATAACAGTGGACCTTGGATGCTAATTGGCGACTACAATGATATTCTCTTCGAACCGGAGAAAAAGGGCGCATACCTCATCCTCCTTGGAGGATTCGTGGGTTCAGAGAGGCAGTTCATAGTTGTGGGTTACAAGACTTCCCTTTTTGGGATACCAATGGACGTGGGATAGAGGCAAAGGTACTGCGTATTGGGTGGAAGAAAAGCTTGATCGAATTCTTGTGAACGATGAGGGGTGGGATACTTTCATTGAGGCTCAGGCAGCTTCAGTGGAAGCCTCGACAAGCCATCACATGGCCCTCTGGTTGAAGGTAAAAATCTCTAACCAAACTAGTAGAAGCAAGAGATTCAAATTTGAAAAATAATTGGGTTAAGCAAGAAGAATGTCGTATGATGGTAACTAATAGTGGAGGCGGTGGGAGCTGATGTGCAAGCCGAAGGGATCAGGAGGATTGGGTTTCAGGAAATTAAGGGAATTTAATCTTGTGATGCTGGCTAAGCAAGGTTGGAGCCTATTATTAAACCCGGAGAGTCTGATGGTCGGGGCTTGTCTTAGAAGTCAAATACTTCCCTAATTTAGAGTTTTTGAAGGCAAAGCTGGGTGATGACACATTCTATATTTGGCGGAGTATATTTCAAACCCGAAGTTTGCTGAAAAATAATGTTAGGCGTAGAGTTGGGAGTGGAAGGGAGGTTCAGGTATGGGCAGATGCATGGTTACCATATCTGGGGGAAGGTAAAGTAGTTTAGCCAGAATTGCTTATATGAACGTCTGGGAAGGCGAGTGGCAGAGCTCTGCCGGAGTCATCAGCTGCTGCGCAAGCGTGCAGCAGGCCTGGAGGGAGGCGCACCGAACATCCTCTAAACCAAGGAGCAGCGTGAGAGGCGAGGATGTGAGATGGAAGCACCCAAAAGTGGGAGGAATTAAGGTGAATGTGGATGCAACCATAGATGACTCGGGAGGAATTAAAGCATGGGGATGGGTTGCAAGGAACGATCTTTGTTAAAACTTTTGGAGCTTCATGTAAAGCGGAATGGTCTTCGGCTGAAGCTGAAGCGGCAGGGATTCGCGAGGCCATTTTAGGAGCCATTACGGAAGGATGGAAAAAAGTTGAGTTTGAATCTGATGCACAGGTGATTGTTCGAGTTGTTCAGAAAGGTGAAGGTACTGCTTACACAGACCTGATTACTGATGATATTTATTTTTTACATCAAACAAAGTGTAGTGTTGAGATCTCTTTTTGTAAACGATCTGCGAATCATGCGGCTCATGTTTTAGCAAGAACGCATGTTTGCAATCTTAGATTATAGTAGCAGCTATTATTTTATATCGGAATGCATTGTAAGTCAGGTGACGAATGATTTATTAGTTTAATAACAGGTTGTTTGTTTCGGTCCCAACATTTATTACTTCAATGTGTTATTAAATCAATCTTTCCTCCTTTTCCTCTAACCAAACCCAAATATTTATGAGAAGAGTGGAGTTAGGTGTACACAAAAGTTATACACTTGTTTGTCCCTCACAGACAAGTTGGTTGTTCGGACATCAGTTGTCTGTGGACAGACAACTCGTCTCTGGACAAACAACTTGTCTGTGAGGGACAGACAAGTGTACAACTTTTGTGTACAACTTTTGTGTACACCAATCTTTTTTTCTTATGAGAATCTTTCCTTCCCTCCACTAGCCTCCTTGCCTCTCCCTCCCTCTTTCTTTGAACCAAAGAAAGGCTTAAGGAATGAGAGGAGGCGAAGATTCTCTCGTCCTCTCCTTATTATTGTGTCCCCCACCCCATTGAATTAAATGAAACAACTACAACATTATTATATTCATATTACTAAGTAGGCTTGTCTATCCCCTCAACCCAAGCTGGACTATTTAAAAGTTGATAAAGAAATAAATACAACCTATAGGGTTATTTTGAATAGGTGACAACTTTGGTACCCATTAAAAAAATGGGATACCGTACCTATCATTTACTTGATTGGTCCAACTCATTATATCATTTTTAATTTTGATTTAAATAATTCTACTGCATCATCCTGATTGGTCCATGTGGACAAAGGTATGATACCTTAAAGATACCATAGAATCTACCTTTTAAATAAGTGAGAAAAATCAATTAAGCATAGGAAAGAAACTAGTAGGAGTAATACTCCCTCTATCCCTTAAAGGTCGGTCAAACTTCTGTAAAGAAGATAAATATTATGAACCACATGTGTTACTTTAAAAGGAAATGACAAACCTTCTTAGGATGGAGGGAGTATTAGGTTATTGTTCTACACGAGACAAGTGTATTTTGAGCTAATTTGGTTTATGGGTATTTCATAACTATCAAAGTATAGTCTAGTCTGGTCTGATTTGATCTGTTTAAGTCTGGTCTATTTTGTTCTAATTCGGTATGACACTCAAATTAGTTCAAGTAAAAACATCTCAATTGTTCTAAATGGATTAAAGAACATGTTTAAATACGCTAGTTATTCTTGACTAGTTTGACCATCTAGGTATATTTGATTTCTTGTAGTCCTTTAAACGGATGATGTAGAATGGACTTTGCTGATGCCACGGCAGACATGTGGAAGTCCAAAAAGCCATTTCCGGATGACGTGGCACACACATGGACCGCCACGTGTCCACCCGTAAGCAAATGATCGGGTGACACAGCAGGTGACATGCTAACTGGCCTAATTAATAGTTTTTCCAAAGCTCGGGGATTTCATTGATTTTTTAAAGTATGAGGACCAAATTGAGTTTCCTGATAGTATTAATTAATTAACAATTTTCCCCGAAAAAAAGTATACCTTATATGAAGTTCTCATATTAGAAGAACCATACCAAAATGGCATACTTTTTTCGGACACGACAGCCTAGAATTTTCCAAAACTCATCACGATTCATAATGTTATTCATTCTTTTTGCCACCAACATGCATTATTGTTTTTCCTGTATATATATCGTTCCCACATTTAGTCTCACTAAATCGAAGGCAGCAGATACAATTATGAACAGCACAACTACAAAGCAGGATTAACTTGATAGGATCGATCACTTGTTGAGCAGGTCTCTCAGTAATATGGGTACATCTCCTCCAAACTACAAAGAGCAAAAAGGGTAAGAAAATGCCTGACAGTGTGATTTCTGAATAACCTAATAATAAGGGGGAACTCTCACCTTCTTCCAAGGCACTTGATGATATCTGCAGTGAGAGTGGATCTCTTCTTGTTCTCAAATGCAAGAGCTGCTGCCTTTCTCACCAAAACCGATCCAGCGATGCATCCCAATATTGTGGGATTTTTTATTGACAGTTCTCCCTGAGTAGCAGCACTCTGCCGTGCCCAACAAAGAAACACAGCAACGCTAACAGCAATAAATAGCCAAGTGTTGGCAAATTAAGTTTTCATGCGTTAAAGCAATGTTTTTTTTGGAGTGCATAGCATGATACGGTATGTGTGTACATATTGTGGTTATACATATATGTTGTTAAGCTAGTACACATTAACCTCTTCCAAATAACTTGTTTCACTTTCCTTTTAAGCTTGTTTCATATTACTTGTCTCTCTTTCTTTTTTGAAAATGGGCCTGGATAATAAAGCATCAGCTACCAATTAAAAAGAACTCCCCCACCAAAAATTAAATATACACTGCCCAAAAGGTATCTTCTCTCACCTCAATAAAAACTTTCTTAACTCTGTGAAAACCAAACTATGACAAGTATTTTGGAATGGAAGCGATAATATAATGAAGAATAGAAAAATGATTAAACCAACCTTCCTGAAAGTATATCACCCTGGCCACCACAGCGGCGAGGAGAGCCAAACACACTCACTGACTTAACTGCAAGGAAATACAACTAGGGGATCTATAAGTTGAAAAATGCATAGACGTATGAAAAGTACCAGTCCAGCAAAAATATAAATCTTGCAGATTCACAACTTCACTAAAACTCTAAAGCAAGAAGATACCTGTTATACCATCGCTGATTATATCAAATCGACCTTTCCGCAAAATTGTCACCCCTCCAATCCTGAAGAGACGCAGTTCGCATTAATTAATTAATACACGTAAATAATACTAAAGACTCATAGGAATAATTCCACTTATTGGCGTTCATCCCATATTAATCCCAAATGTGTAATCCTGGTATAATATTGGATGGTTTCTCAAAAGGATTCCATGTTACCGGTAACCTGATGAGCAGGTTAAAATTTTGTAATGGCCTGGGCTACTGGCTGGATCTGGATTAAGCAAGTTAAAATTTTGTAATGGCTTGCTATACACATGGCTTCTCTAGTTCCCAGAAAATGTGCTTGTTACGGGTATTCATTCGGTGGAGCACATGGCTTGAAATCTAGTTCCCAGAAAATTTTCTCTGTCCTAAATAATGTCAAACTAAATTTGGAGATAAATCTGCACAGTAACTGATGTGTCATGGAAGGTGGACAGTGTAAATAGATGGCATTTAGCCAGCCAGCTATCATGTCTCTGATAAACTACCCTGTATACGAAACCTTGAATAGAGAAACACAGAGATTTATTGAACCTCAGCCAGCCTACAGTAATTGGTCTATCATGGGATGTTCTCTAAAGTAAAAGAAGATTGCACAACATATACACAAGATAATATGTGTATACTAGAACTCTTTTTAAAATTGGAATAGTTATGCAGCAACAAGACTTTTAAAGTCCCCAAATTGCACTAAGAGGGCCATACTGGCTTAACCCTTCTCCTTGTGCTCCTTGTGTCGTACATCAAATCCGTGGTATTGCATTGTGCTGTTCACTCAAGATAAGCATGTTTAGCTTCCCAAGAAGGAGATCAGTTTGTACTCAATTAGACAGATTTGTTTTTCATTCTGGGATATTATTATGAGGAAGAAGCCAAAAAACTAACATTTCATCACGCGAGGGACAATAAAGCATATAATTTACCCCTTAATAAGGGACTTTAGTTCTTCCATTGCATCTTTTTCATTAACTTCAGATGTTAACACAGTTTGCACAAGCCGTTTATACTCATTTACATTTGGTGTCAGGACAGCCAAAGGATAACCTCTAACCAGATCAAGACATTGTGTAACAAGAAAGAGACCATCCTGTGAAAGAAAGCACACACACATTATGTACGTAAGAATTATCAGGTGCAATACTTCGCAACATAATTAGGCTTCTGCCAGGGAGAAAATGTTTGTGAAATACTTCACTCTGTTCAAGCATACCCCATCTATAACCATTGGGACATTGCACTCTCGTGCACGAATTATGATGTTACTCACACAGTCCTGAGACAAGTTAAAATTTTAAAGGAAGTTGTTAATACAGCCACCTGACAGATAAAAAGATATCAAACACCGAAGAACAGATATAGAGGGGATTTCCTTTGTTAATGTGTTTTATTTTCCAAATGAAACTAATTGTTTTAGTTTCCCGTAATCACATGATGAAATTCAAAGAAACAGAAGCTTTTAAAATTTAGACCAACTACAAGCAAATAAGCCTGCTATGGAAGTTAGAGATCAAGATAAGAATAAATGTCCTACTGACTTTCATCTAGTGTATAGGATTCAGCATAGTGAATACATAACAATGAGCCAAGCAAGCTTATTCCAGCTCAACAGCAACAACGTTAAAACTGAACTAGTCATTCAGGCTTAAACCCCTCTAGTCAATACTACGATCATATTATTATATTAACATTTAACGTGCTACAAGTGTTTAAGCCCATTCATCTAAATTCTCTAATATCAAATACTACTATTTAGTAACATGTGTTGTTCAGCCTACATTTGTGGAAATTAAGGCTACAATTATGGGAGAGTTTCTTGTTCTTGGAGAGTTTCAACTTGAAAGACTAAGGTGATAGGATTCAAAGGTCGTCAGGAGGTCTATGCACACTCTCAAAAGAGCTTTCTATGATCACTATGAGCCCAATTTCACAAAGTTCCCTTTGTGGCTTCTTTATGAAATCCCTAAAAAATAATATTCCTTCCATCCCTTATAACTTTGCCACTTTCCAGTTTAAATAAAAAAATTGTGGCTCTTGTTAATTCTCGCTCACTTGCACAAACATCAACCACAAAATTTTTACATTATTATTCTACGTGTCAGTCAACTATGGCAAAGTTATATGGGACGAAGGGAGTAGGGTTTTTTTAAGCATGCATAGTAGAAAACTAAACCATCAGGACTCGGGGTAAAGCACAGATCAACAACACACCAGGACAAATGGATCTCTGCCAAGACCTGGACCAACAACTAGACAATCAAATCTATCCATCCATTTATCAACCTCAGCAATCACATTGGCTGATATTGAGCTTTTATCCTCATCCCTGGGAGAGTTCTATCAAAATTATCAGTACACTAAAAAATGTTATAACTCAAAGGCAATTGTGGTGTTGAAGCCACCCCACCCCCAAAAAAAGAAATAAAAAAGAACAGCTATGATGATAGTAAATTAGTAATAAGTTAAATTAAGAACATGTATATATTTACTGGATATTTAAGACTTACCTAATGCTGTAAGATTCTTCGAGTATAGGATGTACAATTAACTCCGGGCTATAACTTTTTATCACTGGAGCAGCACCTTTTGTGCAAAATACATGAGACAAATCTGCCCCCTAATGAAACAGGTAAACAGACTAAATGAGTCAGTTACAACTAGAAAAACCAATTGCAGCAAGTTAAGGCAGGAATGAGCGTTGAAGAAAAGGCAAGGAAGGGGTGAGATGACTAACAATTTTCAATGCAGAAATAGCAGCAAAGTATGGAGCCCCAGTGTATTCACGACACCCACCTACAACAGCTATCTTTCCTGATTTACACAGAGAGATAAAGCATAAATCAAGTACAAGTGAGATGAAATAAGATGGGGTCTCTTAACATGTGATAGTCGATAACTTTTTACTGTAATTTTATTTTCTGCAATATATACCAGTGATCCAGATGCGCGGAAATGAGATTCAACTAATTCTCCACCACAGTGACTTCATAATCCTATTGACCTTAAGTCATATTTCTTGAACTTGCTATCTCCATAAGACAGGATATTTGATTGTCAAGCATCAAATAAATGCAAAATATAACCTGTGCAATATTCTTTTAGGTTATGGTTGGGAGAGAAGTTTTAGAGTGGAGTTATTTTTTTTAATTTTAAAGATAAATTTATACATTTTATTACAACAAACAATGACTAGGACAATGACTTTGTATTAATTTAACGATTTAATATTTTAGTATCTTATATTTTGAAAAAGGAAATATAAATTTAGAGCAATGTTAATGAAAAGTAACCCTCCCATCCTTATCTTCTTCAAAAATCCCCATCCTAAACATACTGCTAAGGGGCTACGGGATCCAAATAGTAGCTTAGATATCAATGCTCTCCACAAGTCAAACTCAAAAACCAAACAATTAAATTTAATAGCTTTTCAAATCACACACATTCAGTTGCATACTTGTCTCTCTTCTATGAAAAACGAAATGTCTCGGAAACATAACAAGAATTGTAACTTGTAAGAAAACTTTACCAGCTTGGCCTTTGTGCTTTGTGGAGTCGAGATTTGGGGTTATTGATCTCAAAACGCTAATAGCATCGACTTCCAAGCTAGAGCCACCACTCACTGCTGACTGCATTCTAACAGTACCCTGATGATAGAATGGACTTTTGGCTTTACCAGAATAACCTCCCAAGCACCTTAGTAAGAACTGGTTCCTTCTGATTACAGGTGCTGAAGTGGCCAGCGTTACTCCCGATCTAGAGCTTCTGAGAATTCATGCAAAAATCAAACAAATAAAAGAAATACGTAAAAACAAAAACATATCAATAAAACAACAACCGTGATTAAACAATATGTGTTGGCTCTGGGCGATCAGTGAGTGAACGGATCTTCTGGAAGACGGATTGCGGGCTCCGGTGACTCGAGAAATATGGTAAAACCGTGTAGTTTCCTTTACGGTTTGGGCTGAGAAAGTACCTGAGTCTTCGTTCTTCGGGAAATACTGAACTCTAGAGAATACACAACATGTTAGCTCCACATTTTGTACAAACTTCAAAAAAAAAATCAGACAATTTTTCTTTTATCTAATCTTACAGATTTTGTACACATTTGGGAACAAAAAATGTTTAGTCATAAGCTCAACAACAACAAAATGTCTCGTTTGCTACCAACTTATCACATTAGCTTTCGTGAAGAAGTACTTCTCTTAAAAAAAATCAGACAATTTTTTTTATCTAATCTTACAGATTGTGTACACATTTGGGAACAAAAAATGTTTAGTCATAAGACCACAAAAACCATACGTAGTATACATACTTCTCTCCATTAAAACTTTGTCACAAACTCACAACTAGCTGAAAAAGTATTTTTTATAGATTTTTGGGAAAACTGTCAAATAGGTCTTCGAACTTTCATAAAAAGGTCAATTAAGTCCTTCTATATGAGGTTCTGTCCGGCCGTCGCGATTTGGGACACTTCCCGGTGGAATTTTTTGATTAATTTTTTTGAGCATCTTATTCACCAAGTCTAGTTTATTCATACCAAATTTTAGCTAAAAATTCAATCGGGAACACATTCAAATTAATTCTTGAAGATAAATGCGCATTTTTGCGTTCTCGAATTAATTTGAATGCGCTCCCGATTAAATTTTTAGTTGAAATTTGATATGATTAAACTAGGCTTGATGAATAAGATGCTCAAAAAAATTCATCAAAAAATTCCACCGGGAACTGCCCCAAATCGCGACGACCGGACAAAGTCTCCTATAGAAGGACTTAATTGACTTTTTTATGAAAGTTCGAGGACCTATTTGACAGTTTTCCCTAGATTTTTTAGTACATGTTAGCTCTTAATGACTGAAAACATCTTTAAAATAAAATGTGTTAGTCGTTTGATAAAAAGTTGACTGTTTGATTTAGTTATGTTTGGTATACAAGCTATTGCGACTTATTAATGCTAAAAGCTACAGACTTTTCTCAGATGTTACTCCCTGTAGCATCTCAAAAAAAAATCTTTTTTTAAAGCTCTTAAAATTGTAGTACCAAACATACAACTAGAAACTTTTACAGACTTTTTAAATAGTACAAAAGCTAAAAGGTAGAGACTTATGTCCGCCAAACATAGCCAAATAAAGTAAAAACTGTGTAGTAGAGGTTTGTGCAGAGGAAAAAAGAATTATCTGAAACCACAAATCTTTACTTAAGAGGAAAAGTGACAAAGTTAGTGAGACATTCAAATAAGAAAAGTTGGCAAAATTTTAAGGGACATAGAGAGTATTAAAAGCTGCTCCGTAGTAATTAACTAATGGAATAGTATGGTGTCCGTTTGGTACACATTTGGAACAAAAAACGTTTGGTCATAAACTCAGCAAAAAGAGTTAGGGTTGGTTTGCAACCACTTTAAAAAAAGCACTTCTCAGCTTTTGGCTTTAAAAAAGCACTTATTTTTCCAAACACTACAACTTTTATTTTTCTCGGCTTCCGCGCCAAAAGTGCTTTTACTTTTTCTATTACACAAAAAAGCACTTACTTTACCAAACACTACCCACTTTTACTTTTCAAAATCACTTTTTTCTCAAACACTATCAACTTTTATTTAATCACTTCTCCCCATTTCATTAAAAAAAGCACTTTTTTAAAAGCAGAAGCTGTTGCAAACAGACCCTTAGTCTCAAACAAATAGTGTTTTTAACGCATCAGTTAGAAAAGCGCTTTTCAGTTTTTAGTTTAAAAAAGTTAAAAAGAGTGTTTTCAAATGATAGCTTCTGCTTAAATTAATTACTTAAAAATTAAAAACTGGAAGCAGGTGGAAGGGTGCTTCAATTTTCACTTTTTCTATTACACAAAAAGTACTTATTTTATCAAACACTACCAACTTTTACTTTTTCAGAATCACTTTTTTCTCAAACACTACTAAGAGAGTGTTTTCAAACACTACCAAAAAGTGCTTCTCAACTTTTTTGTTAAAATAAGCTCAAATGGGTGTTTGCAAACACACACTTCAGCTTAATTTTGAGCACTTTTAAGCCAAAAGTTGTAAGCAGCCATTGTCATGCTTTTTAGTGCTTCTAGGTTTTTTAGTAAATACTTGAGACTTTATGGATAGTTATTATATCAAAATTTTCAATTAAACCCAAAGTGCCCCTTCTTCTCCACCGCATGACCCACCTGCTTTCTTCCGTTTCGCTTCCCCTCCGCTTCCGACTTCTGTGCTGCAGCTCGACACAGGTCTTCGAAGAGATGGGGTCCATCAAGGCTGCCATGGATGATATCTCTAATCTCCTCACTCGGACAATCTAGCAACGGGCTTCTCTTTTCAGAGCTTCTGTCTATCTCATTCTTCTTCTTCTGGAGATCCGAGTGCATTTTCCCGACTTGCCCCATTAATGAGAAGATACAAAGAGGTGAGAGGGTTTGGTTGGAGAAGTAGAACTAAACCAGAGCATTGATTTGGCACAGTTCGGCCGATCTAGAGAACATCATCATTCTTAGAGAATTTTGAGAAACCTTCTACTATAGCAAGGGATTGAGATAGCAAGGGCATTTTTGTATTTAATAGAATATCACATCAAAAACCACTTTTTTATCAAACACTCCAACTTTTACATTTTAATTATAATCACTTCTATTCTCAAACACTATCAACTTTTACTACAAATCACTTTTCCAATAATCTCCTAAAAAAATCACTTCTAAAAAGCACAAGCAATCACAAACACTCCCTAACTTTTACTATTAATCACTTTTTCCAAAATCACTTTAAAAAAACATTTTTTTAAAGTTGAAGCAATTGCAATATTACTTAACAATATTACTTACAACTTTTTTAAATAAAAAGCACAAATTGGTTTGGAACTTTGAGTTACCGTTTGCTTGGTTTGTTGAAAGACTTGGAGCCCGTTTGGTAGCATCAAAATCGGCTGTTTTGGCTAATTCTGCTGAAATTTATGATATTCTGGCTGGAGTGGCTGTTTTGGCTGATTCTGCTGATTTAAGAAAAAAATATTTTAAAAATATATTTTATTAATAAATTAAAGAAAAAATTATATGTAAAAATAGCTAAAATGGTCCTCTACAGTAACTTCAGCCAATACAGCCAGAAAAGTAACTCCAACCTTACTTTTTCGGCTTATTACACAATTCAGCGCGCGAAAGTAAAAGTTACGTGTTTGGTGAAAAAGCTGGCTGATAAGCCTGATAAGCCGAAAACAGAGTTCTCCAAACGGGCTCTTGTTTTATTCTTGAAATGAGTCAAAGAGACATGATGGATTATATAACACTATTTACCAAAGAGGATGCAATTTGGTTGTGTAACACTATTATAGGAGTAAACATTAAAATCTCACACTGAAAAGTAAAAATAATATTAGTACCATGATGACGGCAATAAGTTTATAGGTATATTATCTTCCATGATGTTACCTTTATGGTAGTGGCTATTGCACGATACTCCTATTGTCTAATGACACCTATAACGACGAATGATGTTGTTGACGTTGTCGCCAATACCATTGATCCAAAACGTGGAATCTCCCACCCCAGGAGCCCCACACCCCAACCCGACAGGATGTTGAAGGAGTTGTTGCCAATACCATCTTAGATAAATACCGAGTACTAGCTATAATAGTCTTTGGGGTTGTTTGGTAAACGGCGTTTTAGCCGAACAATGACAGTTTGATCACTTTTAACGTTTTCAATAAGTGAACAAGTTGTTTGGTAAATAGCTGTTCGGCACCAGCGTTTTTGGACGAAAACGTCAAAATGAAAATGCTGCTAATGAGAGAGTTTTGGGTTGACATTTTGAAAAATGGCGTTTTCTATAATTTTATGGTCAAACAGCTAAATTACCAAATATCTTTTGACAACCCGCCAATTTATTCCGCTAGTCAAACCCGCTGACCGAAATTGCTATTAATAACCCGCTAACATAACCCGCTATCCGCTAACCGCTAACAACTGAGTGCCAAACACGCCCTTTATTTGCAATATTTTCTCGTTGAATGTCTAATCTCATATTGATGGAACTATTTATAAATTATACGAACTTACGAAGTACTTTAGTTAGATGTTTTTGTAATTTTCTCTATTAGTAATTAGATTGTTGGATAGAAAATTAAGATGGGAACTATACACACATGCAAATCTAACTAATCATTTAATTATAATTATATTATTATTATTATTATTTGGCCCATATGTGTATTTGAACCGTGAGCAACTATCCTAGTTTCGCAACTCACTTATTAGCCTACATTGACTCGTATCATATTATATATAGGCTAAAGAGTCAAATAGGTACATGAACTAACTTAAAGTGTTCAATTTACCCCTTATAAAGGAGTTTCTGCCCGGACGTCGCCAATTGGGGCGGTTCCTGGTGGAATTTTTTGATGAAATTTTTTGAGCATCTTCTTCATTAAGTCTAGTTTACCCATACCAAATTTCAGCTAAAAATTCAACCGGGAAGGCAGTCGAATTATTTTCCGAAATGTACTGCGCTGTTTAATTTTTCAGAAAATCATTCGACTGCCTTCCCGGTTGAATTTTTAGCTGAAATTTGGTCTGGGTACACTAGACTTAATGAAGAAGATGCTCAAAAAAATTCATCAAAAAATTCCACCGGGAACCGCCCCAATTGGCGACGTCCGGGCAGAAACTCCTATATAAGGGGTTAATTGAACACTTTAGGTTAGTTCATGTACCTATTTGACCCTTTAGCCTTATATATATCATTTTGTATGTACTACGTAGTATTTTAGGCCTTGATTGGTTCGAGAGTTTTCTAGAGGAGGGAAGGAAATTGAGTGATTTATGTGTGTTTGATTGAAAAAATATGGGGAAAGAGGATGAAAGTCAAAGGTTTTCAAAATCTTCTGCTTTCTCCCATTCTCAATCCCAAATCGGAGTATTTCGGAGGGAACGTGTTGGTAACAAACTAACAACAAATTATCCATCATTTTTCTTTTACATGAATGTACAAAACACAGTAATATAAAAAAGTAAAAAATTTAAAAATGAAAAAAAAAAACTTAAAAATGAAATATTTTTTTTGAGTAAAAAAAAATGAAATATTAAAAATTTTAAAAATTAAATAATTAAAAAATTAAGAAAATTAAACAAATTAAAAAATTAAAATATTAAAAAAAAAAAAATTAAAAAGTATTAGATTTAAAAATTAAAAAATTAAAAAAAAATTAAAAACAAAAAAAGATATATTATGGCTCATGACCTTGGAAGTAATATTCATAATAGTTAGATGTTTCTAGCTTTTCAAATAAGCTATTGAATAAAGGTAAATTGAGAATGTAATTTCATGAAACTTTCCTCTTATTTCCTCCAATCAAACACAAATTTTTATCAAAATTTCCTTCCCCTCCCCTCCCCTCCTTTGAACCAAACAAGGCCTTAGGGTTGTCAATCTCTTACTAATTTTTTGTTAGAAAATCAAAATAGAGGGTTGGCGACTTGGCGCTTGTATTTACTGAGTTACTGATTAAGTGATCTTTAAAGAGAGATTCGTATGAAGTTTTGTTTTTAATCTCATGCACAGTGCATATAATCTCTGCACTCAATCAACAACCCCCAATGGATATAATTGTGTGCTCATTACTAAAGGGTGTTTATATATATTTATAATAATGATGGTTCTCATGAGAGATGTTTGTCGAACCCAAAATACGCCTATAAATTTATAAAACATAAACCAACAAAAAAATACGCCTATAAAACATAAACTAACCAAAAAACAAAGCTAAAAGAGGGCGGTAAATAATACTCCGTACAACTAAAATATAATTTCAAATTAGGATGGTATAGATGAATACGGACTCTTGGAGTAGTTGCAACTTGCAAGTCCTTACCTATACCAATATAGTGCGGGCTTTATATCCTATCCATTGCCCTTCAAAACAAACATGAATAAGCCCAGAGAAATTGGAATTGCCATTCTCTTTCTCTGATGAACTGAGATTACACCAACAGCGGCCGAACCATAACCCAAATCATTAGATTACAATGTTACATGCTTGAAATAATTATTTCTCAAAATCATTTACCAAACAGCAACACACAAAAAAAACTGAAAAATCAATCTAAATGTGAAGACTTAGAAACATTCCTGATATCATCATCTGAGAACATAAAGATGGTTGGATTAAAATTGGTATGTTTCGCTGCATATAAGTGTGATTGTGTGTAACCCTTTTTGAGAGAACATACAAACAACTTCAGCCTTTACACAGCCCAAGAGTCTTCTCAGCAATTTGGATCCAAGAAACCAAGGTATTTGCACGCCTCCAAACAAAAGGCTGGGCTAGAAATGCTCATTATTACTTATTAGTTCAGACTGCAAAAGAGAATCCCACTCTAGATCTGTCCCAAGATGACATCCCCACCAGAAACTTTGAACTCAGATGGAACTTTTTCGACATTGAGAACCTTGACCTGTCCATCGACTATGTACGCTGACCACCTGGTTCAGTCACAAAATGTATAATAAGCCAATAAGTAGTCCTTATTTACTTACTCATTCAATCCCATTATCTAAGATGGCTATCCAAAAAAATTTGAACATCTTCCGATATGGAACACTACTTACTTTTTACTTTTCCACTACAGTTTATCTTTTATTTCACCTTTTTTTTATTTTTCGTGGACTCATTCCATTTTTTCATACTTTTTAAGGTTACATCTGTAAAAGAACAATCACATCCTTTATTTTCTTAAAACTCGTGTCAAACCCAAATGTGTCATACATTTTGGGACAGATGGAGTATTATTAGTTAGGGGATCTAATTAACCCCAAATTTTATATGTTGGGGTGCATCAGCAAGCAATCAGCTGTCAAACTAGTCTAACGAAAGACCATTATAAAGTAAACTAAACAATTTGACTCGTGTATACCTGTGGGAGCGTGTTCCAAGCAAAGCACCAGAGAGGTCAATTGATAAGTCCAAGCTCTTGTGGAAACTCCCATCAAAATCACCATAGAATTCAATCTGCACAACAACATCAAACATTTATCATTTCATTTACCAACTCTGATTCCCATGCAAACATGCATAAATGGTCCCTGTATCCTTCATTCGTGTTTACTGGTAGCGGTCATGTGATTTAGCTTGTTTGAGGTAGTTCCTCACCTGGTTTCCGAGTGAAGCTAGACTAGATAAAATGCATGCACATTGGATTGAACTCTTAATTTGATGGAAACAGAAAACGACAACAAATTACTTCAACAAAAGGTTTGTCTACAGCATTCTAATAAATAATTAAATATGTTCAGATATCAGCCCTAAATTTTTTTATAATATACTGTTATGCTAGGATCCACAGAGCACTTCTGAGACAGATTTTAGTAGAAACTCAATCATATTAGCACTGACTAGTAGATTCAGAGACTAGAAGAATGATGCAATAAAGTATCTAACATGTGGTAAAGATTATATTGTTTATTTGTAAATCCCTCAAGTTCCTATGCAAGAGAACTTATTGGACTGCAATTTATATTTTCAGAAACTCAATCAAGTGACTTACGGCATCTTTTGCTTGAAGCTTCTCTGCCCATCCATTCATTACATATGGATCGTTGACAGCTACACAGATCACTGTGTCAACTCCTTTGGCCTTAAACTTGTCAATGTTACTCTTATAGCTAGGCACGTGTTGGGCTGTACAAACTCCAGTGAAAGCACCCTGAAAGATAATACAAGAACTCATAAGAACAGGAGGGAGAGAGAGATGATTAGTGAGCCATGAAATGTTTATTCCCTTTTCGACTCTTAATGACACAGACACTTCCATACCAACAACTCCGATAAGCCATTTACTGACTACTGAAAATCGCAAAATCCAGATATATTTTTTAGCCAAATGATTTCTTTTTGTGCCTGTATAATCAGTCATTGTATTTCCTGTCATTTGTAAATGATATACAAACTTTCTCTTCTTACCCTCTCAACAAAAAGCACACAAACTGCCATCTGAACAATGAGGAAAAGAAACGTGAATCTGTGTTTAGCATATGCAGTATCAAAAATGCTCCTCTAACTGGTAGAATAAATCAAATGGCTCTGGGAAGAAAGTGTTAGTTCTTTAAAACTTTTCACATGATAATGCTCCCATTTATTGAAAAAATCTAGAAGATGAGGGCATTTTCTTTAAATAATCTAATATCAAATGAGTGGCTTTCATTATTGTAGTCGTCTCACTTTTGATAAAGAACTAGACAATGAACCCGTGCGTTGCACGGGAAAATCAAATCACATTACTCAGATAAAAAAGAGATCGAATGAATATTTTATACTACCTCCAGCTCGGGTAAAGGTACCCACGTTTACGATGTTAAAGTCATAAAGTTAAGTGATCCATGTTAATAATAAGATTATTCTTTGTAAATAAAATTTACATATTTAGAAACAACATAAAAAGTCTTCTAAAGTCGCAAAAAACTCAAATTTGATAAAAGTTGGATATATAAAGTAAAAGATAAAGAATAACTTAAATTAATTTCAATCTAAATATCTAAAAAAAATATTTTATTATTAAATATATTTCAGATACGGAGTATAATTTTTCCATAATTTAGCAAAATTAACAGAATTTCACAATTTCAGGAGTTTTACCCGATTCTGCCAATTGCATTATTACTTAACGGGGTCTCAATAAGTACTACTCGACTTGACTTTAATGGATGCCACTTATGAGAGAGTGAGCATTCATGGGTGTTTTTTAGGGGTCAGCAATCCGGTTGAGTGTGAGTGAATCTGAATCAGTGTTGTCAATAGCGCGCTATAGCGGAATAGCGGTGCGGCAGACAGGGTAGGCGCTACATGGAGAGCTCTAGCGTGGCGTTTGGGTGTTGCGTCCATAGCGCCCGCTATAGCGCAGGTGCGGGAGAGAAAATAGCGGCCGCTAACGCGGCGCGTTTCGCAGAATATGAGCCTTCTGGGAGGGATTTTAGCGTTAGATTTTTTAGCGCAGACATAGAAGGGTTAAATTAGACTTTTAAAACAATATTTTAACCTAATTAAAACCCATACACGTACGTTAAACGCTACTAAAAGCTCAAAACGAAGCCAGCTTTTGAAAATAGTCAGTGGCACCTCTGCGATGGCTTCTTCTCCCAGAACAACCATCTTCTATTTCTGCTACTCTGCGATTGCTTCTTCTCCAAGAATGACAGATGTTGCCCTCCTCTGCTTTCAGTAGTATCTGACTATCTTCCGCTGCAACATCTTCTTTTCCAACCTTTGCTGCAGACCTGCAGTCTTCTTTTCTTCTTCTTTTCGTGTGAAGTCTAGTCAGTCTTCTTTTGACTCGATGTTTTGACTTAAGATGTTTAAATTATTAATAGTATCTTATATTTTACTCATGAAACTAAATAATATTTCTGAGTAATTTAAGTGGGTGAACCATCTAGTTTCAGTAGTTATAAAAGAAGAAGTTTAATATAATTAAGTATAATATTTCTAAGTAATATTACATATGCTTCTAGTAGTTACTTATCTATTATATTTGAAAGTACTCCAAATGGTTCTATAAAACTTAGAACCATCTAGTTTCAGTAACAAATAACAAATAATGACATGTATAGAATGTAAACAATTCGATTTATATAGATGGAGTTTTATATAATTAAGTATAATATTTCTAAGTCATATTACATGTGCTTCTAGTAGTTACTTATCTATTATATTTTAAAGTACTCCAAATAGCGGTCATCCCGCTATCCGCTATACCGCTATAGCGTTTTGGGGGCTGCCCGCTCCGCTCCGCTATCTGGAATTGACAACACTGATCTGAATTGTACCAAATTGAATTGAAACCAAACCATATGTAATTCAGTTTGAGTTTGATCGTATGACTTTCAAGTTTCAAATCGAATTAAACCAAATTAAACAAATCAAAATTGTGAAAAATCGAATAAGGTCGAGCCGAACTCAAATATATAGTCAATAAATTTTTAATATGTTTTTAAAAATAACAAATCCAAAGAGAAATGAACCGAATAAATCCGAATTGAGCTGAAACATAGTATGGTTTTTGTTTGATAATCATGCTTTTGATCCGTTTAAAACCGAATCGAAATGATATTAAAACTGATCAAAACCGAATTGAAACCGCTATGCCCACTCCTAGTATTTATATATATAAAATTGTTACTCAATGAGTTTTATTTTATAAGATAAAATTTTCTCTTAGACTACAAAATTTATGTTTTTTGAATTGAAAAAACTAATTTTTTACTTTTCGATTTTATTCTTTTATCTACCTTTTTTCCACTTAATTGCTACTTTTTCTTATCCATTGAATCTATAAATTGTAAAGATGAGGTATTTCATGTACTTAATTACAAATTTGAATAATTTTCTGGAATGTAATTGTATTCAAGTAATTATGGACGTTGATAATGGACTTCTTAATTTGTTCAAATTTTAAGTGTATTTACCCTTGTGAGCGCACACATGTGGTAGGACAATACATATGATCCATATAACGCATATCTTTTATATAATTCGAGTTTTTCAACGTCGGTCGCAAATTGTTCGGGGTACAAAAAGTCAATTTTCTTGTAGTGGATTGAATCGTATGAGCATCTTGATTATATTGTTTTAAATTAATATACTATGTTACTGAAGCTCAATTTCAATAAATAAATAAAAAGTTATTGCAACTCCATCATTTGGGTCCCATGCATGCTCCGTTAATATGCATTGGCCAAGCATCTCACACTCATGATCAGTATATTGCTTACCAATTACCTTATATAATAAAAACCTTAATTTAATGCTATAAGCCGAAGGATGATTCAATGCGGGAATAGGCGGGAATAATCAGAGAAATCCAATTGCCCACCTAATTCCTTTATGTTATATAAATAAAAATGTGCTACATTTTCAGCCTCACAAGGAGATCAAACATAAACAACTCCTTAAATCCTGACTTATGAATATGTGGGAGTCTAACCGCGAGAAGTGAGTACAACACCGAGTTGACTAATTCAGGATTTCTCACGAAGGCAAAACAGTTTAATGCAGTAGCGACCCGAAAATTGCAAGTCAAGGACTCAAGGTAAAACAATTATTGTTAACACACAGAAAAGTAATATAAGTGTGTCCATGCTTGCCCTTGCCCAAGACCGTTGGGAGGAAACAGGAAGGAAGAGAAACCAGACAAAGGAAGATGAGGATCAATGGTGGAATTTTGAATTAGGCTCATGAGCTCATCATTGACATAGCTGATACATGTGATCTCACTTTGTTGAGAGCTTTGCAATTAAGCCAACGATTCTACATCCAAGGGATGGAATAGATGAACTATTATACCAATCCCAAGAATCTTGAAGAGCAAAGTAATAGTCCCAATAAAACAAAATACTGCTAATGAATACATAACACAGCCAAATACTTTATACCAAATAGATAAAGAGTAACTGTGTATTCAAATAATACACGGCCATTTGCAGTTTTGCTCTACGAATCCTACACACAAGCTGCTGTTCTTGTGATGGCTATGGCCTATAGCTCTTCCCGAAAAACACATCCACGACAAAGTAGTTTAGCCACATAAACTAAAATAGCTCAGGAAACTTAGGCCTCATACTATGTTGAGTAAGGGGTCTTATTGAGTGGCGTTAACGCCACCCACTAGATAGAGGAAGCATAATTAGAGAAGGAACAAAAACATGTATCATATTATAATATTGATAATATTGATAAATATTATCAACATTTATAGTATTCATTAATATTAGAATGTAATTTCAATATAAAAATAAAAAGATTATAAATCTTGAATAAGAGTTAGATTGGGCCTGCTATATGGCACATTATATGTGAGCTGTTTTAGGTTTGTGCTTAACCCGCTATCTAAACAGTTTCTCTTACTACTTACAAGTTACATGAGATCTGTTTCTTTTTTAATTTCAAGCTATCTCAGCAAGGAAACTGAATGCAACTTTATTCTAAATTTCTAATCACATCCCTGCCGAGAACTCTGAGAAGGGGACAAAGGGTTGGAAACAAGCCTACTGTTTACATAACGAGCTAGGGCCATAGGGGCTTTTTAGGATTCATGTGATAGGTGGCCTATATTCCTGTAAATCCTATAATCATACACAGAGTATCAAGTTTGGTTCGACCACAGAATGAAGGATTGAACGTGCAGTATGTTGTGCAGTTACAGATCATCCATCATCGCATCATCTGAACTCTAAGATGCGCCGAGGCCTACACGTCCCCAGTTTCCTTCAATAATCCTCCTTCATTGCTCTCGTTTTCCTGCCTCTTTTCATGGTTCCAAACAATTCAGACAGATCATTACAATTATGAATTATCTACCATTGTCTACCAAATTACCAAATACCAATACATAATAACAGAGGCGAACAAAACAGATAGCATACACAACGTGATTACTTAATTTAAAAATGCCAGCAAAAGTGATATAAAACCGATCAGGATATTAAAGAAAATATGTACCGGAAGTCCGAAGATAACAACTTTTTTGTCCTGGAAAAAAAAAACAAGACAATGCAAATTTAGAAACCCTAAACAACAAGAAGCCGGCTATTTACAATCAAGGTAATAACCCAGATTGAACCGAAGGGAGTCCGTACCTTGAAGATGTCTTTGAGAAGGGTAGTGGAGAACTTGGAGGAGACGCCTTCGTCCCAAGTGCGAGCTTTCTGGAGAGAGACATTGGGGGCGCCGGATACCAGGTCCGTACCCACTGCAACCGAAGCATATGATCTCAATCTGTTGACCATTGAATTCAACATCGTCGTCCGTTTGAGCATAGCTGCAGCCATGGCTAGTGCTTCTGCTGTTCGTCAGGTCTTTGATCAATTGCTAATTTGCTATTGGTGTGGACCGTGGGGTGAGTTGCTGCGGGGATCCAGAAAATGAGAAGAAATAAAAAAGGGAGTTAAACTTTTGGCAGAGTATTTATAAGAGTATTTATATGATACTTTATTTTATTAAGTTGATACTTTATTAAAATACATGATCTTATATAATGATTCCATAATAATAGAAGGTTTTATTTGACCATTTTAACAACATTAAAATAAGGAGGGAGTACTGGTTTCACTTTTTAGTCTATTTGTGTAAAAATCCCTTTGGTGTTTGGACTTATGTTGGCCTGCACTGCACTACTGGGCCGGGTCTGTTCTATATGATCAAATCCTAAAATTGTAGCTATAGTCTCTTTCACACTGTTGCTAAATTGGGCGTATAGTCCAAATGGGAAAGAAGTGAGCTCAAACTGTAGGCAATATGAGTAAGGACAATATCGAGCTCAACCTCGCTAATGCAGGCCTCACGGAGAAAAAGATAGTTAAAAGAAGAAAGAGGAGAAACGCGGAAAAGAAATGAAAGAAAAAAGGGTAATTCTAAATGCAGCCCATTATTTGCTAAATACACATCCCATAATCTCGTAGAAGATAAAATCATTTTAGAATTCCTATTAAAGAAAGATGAAGAAGCCAAAGGGAGCTGAAACGCGAGCAAGTCGAAACGCCGCATAGATGGACGATTCCATGGATACATCGATGGCCAGCAAGCTAAGTCATCGAAACAGACAACAAGTAAATGAAGCAAGATTCGATCTTCATCCGAATCCTGTTACAAAGACGGATAAACTGTGAACTAAGGTTTATTTCTTAGCAGGGAAGAGGATTCATTAGTAGTTACGTTGTTATTGTTAGCTTTATTTTTTTTATTTCTTATAGGTTTATTTTAAAAAAAATGAACCTGAAAACTTTCCACCTGAGCTTGTTCCCCGTTGAAAAAGTTAATTTAATGACTTATCACGCTTATTATTGTTACTCTGTCTTTCAATTACCTGAAGCTGTTTTAACTTATTCTTGAAAAGTGTCTCACCTCTATTGCAATTAGCTTTTTCACTAATCTCCAAGTATGGCTCGGTTAAGGGAAAGCTAATGAACAATTGAACATACATGATATTCTTTTTAATTGAGATTGAATTGCCCTAAGTTGTATCCTTTGTGCTTTAACAACATATTCACCTAGTCACATAGGTTTCTTCCGGAATGTTGCCTGGTTTTCTTTTTGGATTCAGTTATTTGCTGGGCACACATGTCTTCATGCAGCAGTTGAGACGTGGAGGATGTAGGGGAATTTGCGGCAAATAATTTCCTCATCACAGAATTAGGCGTGCCCAATAGGACGATTCAAGGGACCTGTTATCTTGTTATATACTTATATTAATGATAAAGGGTAATTTTGGGGACCTGTTATCTTGTTATCTTCCTCACGTTTCAACTTGCTCCTTTAGCTTCTTCATCTTTCTTGAAAGTCCAGACACCAGCTATACAAATATGTGAGTTGGAGTTCTAAAGACACTGACTCACACTGCGTTAGTAATAAGGGCATAATAGGGCTTGTAAAATGACTTTATCTTCTACGGAAATATGGGGTGTGAGTTTAGCAAATAGTGGGCTGCATTTAGAAATCCGGACCTGGGATGAAAGCAGAGGGGGCGAATGGTGATACGAACGCCAAGAAGAAGAAAAATAAAAAATTTGAGGGAAGTGACATGGAGACACCCCAGTATCTAAGAAAGAGCCTACATCCCATGCATAACAATTTAAGATACGTGGTATTGATTCTCTTATTTAATTTCTATATGGATGCAACAGTGGGTCTCTACATAATGCAGTGACATACTTTTCCTGCAACACAACCTGATGTGGTTCTTTATTTGTTTACATTAATGCCAGGGCTCATTACCCCCACTTGATGCCCCACATCATTTACGGAAGCACGAATGGGCACCTTTTCGAGAAGGTAGCATATATAAATAAATCCATTATTGAAGAATTGGTGTCCTTGGTTCTAGTTTAAGTTTTTTTTGCAACAAAAATAAAAGTTTTATTAAGGCATGGAAAAGAGTACAACCGCTAATGAAGGTAGGAAGTCGAATAAATAACATAAAGTTATTGAAATAACACGTTAATGATCCGCACCCTCAATCCTGTTTTAGCTTGAAGTCGAGCGCTTAGTCTAAACTTAAGTTGAGTAGCTGTTTTATAATTAGGATCACTGAATCACTTAGTCAAGCAAGCCGCTCTTGATCCAAGTCATATCCTGAAGACCCTTCACCTGAAAACGTATTAAAATCTAAATTATCTTCCGAAGATTCTGAACCTGAAACAGCTTGAGTTTGATAGAGTGTGATATCCCGCTCCTTGATCGAGTGAAACCCAACTTCATTCTAGAAGGCTGGAATGTTATCCTTGTGAGCTTGCAAATCTCCTTGCAGTAAAGCATCTGAAATAGAATTTTTATTCTCAAGTACATCAAATTCCCTAGGATTAATCTCTAGTTCAGGTTGTACATCCACATGGAGACTTGTTTCATTAGTAACATTGGTGTTAGAGTCCAAAAAAATCTGAAAACAACTTAAAAACGATCTAATCCTTCATTATTTCAACCCTCTGGAATTATTAATGATACCTCGCTGAAAGAATTGAATTAGCTCCCTGTCCTCTTTGGATTAAACGATAATAGCCTCCAAAATTGTTGCGTACTTGCGTTCATAGCTTACCCTATACGTAGTATGATTTTGATAACTCGTACCTGGTAAAATGCCACAAATTAGAGAAATTTCCTTTTCCATATTGCAGTAGGGAGTCCTTAAGCCAATAGGCAGTTTCTGATCCAAGCAAGATGTGTCGTTGCATTCCTTTTTGAATTCAGAAATGCAGAAGAGTGAATCTTTGATCAAGAAACGGAAGCAATTGCTCTCAATTTGAATGAAATCTTTCTCAATTCCTAGACCCTGTGAGTATATCGGATCTTGGCTGCCAATAGGAATTCCGAAGGCAACTCAAAATTTGAATGACAATCATCCCAAGTTGAACTACTCGTGTTGGGCACCCCCTTCCGTTTCACCTGCTTAGACAATCTCACACTTCCTGTTCTCATATGGGCCCCTGCTCTTGAACGAGAATGATTAGATACAACGTCCTGTGCAAACCCTAACCCCTTCAAACCCATAAGCAGTGCTTACCTGGACAAAGATTGCATGAGTGAGACGATTATTGACCCTTGCTAGAACGCTCCTTTCAAGCTTTCCACCCAGACAATGATCCCCCTACAAGATTTTTCCTTTCGATGGAACGAGTTCAAGTCTTTGCCACTCGCTCTTCCTCAACCCGCCGATCGCCCCTGCTTACAAATTCATGGCGAGATTCAAAATCCTTACCCTCTTATTTCCTGTAGATCGCCGCCACTTCTGGAAGATTTCTCACAATAGGTTTACCTTTAGTCGGATGACCAACTGATGCCAAGATATCTCCGAAAAAGAGCAGCTCTTCATCGGATCCCTCAGTATCCGTCAAACATGATTTGAGGCCTTGCGTTGCCGCCAATGGAGTCTGATTACACTCCTCCGCCCTAGTGCGTGCTTCAGTGTCGGCTGCTATGCCGGATTGCCAGAGCTTCCTCATTCATGGATATCGCCCGAGTTTCCCCTCCTTTTGTCTTTTAGTTTAATTAATCTCACTTTTAAACTTTTGTATGATATATAATTTTGACGTGCACTTTGTCGTGAGTGCACTCAAAGTAAATTCAACACTAACACTTATACGTAGTATAGGTGAAGTAGAGTTCGTATCCACAGGGAAAGGAATAATTTTCTTTTTATATAAATAGTAAGTAAAGGGGGGTTTTGATTTGTTGAGTGATTTAATTAAATTTAAACACGAAGATGAACGATTTATATGGGATTTAATTCAAAGATAAAATTGACTTGGTATTGCTACTTTCCACTTGTTGATATATTTTAGTCGATCATTGTTATATCTATAACTTATCTCCTCTCGAATACTCAATCGAGGAGTATATCCAATTCGTCGAGGATAGTCATTAACAACGACCGTTCATTAATAACCCTTACTATTAGTCAAGTATAGAACAACGCCATATACCGACTTGATAGTAGCATTTAATCTTTTAACTCCTTGATGAAATCAATTGAGATTGATAACCTTAACACAACGGTTTCGGTTTAACCAACAAAATTAATCCCTCTTAAGTCTATTAACCACGACCGTGCATTAATAAACCGAAGTTACTTACTTGTGAAACTATCAACGATTAACCATCGGTTCGTTGATCATTTCTAGTAGTAATTAATATATGAAACAAAACTAGTTGATCCTTTAAGTAATGTTCAAAATATTAATATGAAATATGCATAGGAATTAATTAATACTCAAGGAAGAATATTAAAGGGAATGAATCCTACTATAGTTAAATATCAAGATGTTAACTAATTGTCATCTTAGTAACACTCCCCGATATTAACATAGAGGAAGGAATAGCTATTACTAAAATCAATGTCAAGATGTTAACTAATTGTCATCTTAGTAACACTCCCCAACATTGATATAGAAATAGTATTTAAAGGAAGAATTAATATTCAAGGAAAAGAAGTTAAGAAAATAACTCACAACTTTAATAATCAACAAGCTTCAAGAGCAATACCAAGAAATGGAAGTTTAGCTCCTCATTTGGAGACTAAACATGCTATGAAAATATAAAAGAAATACTATTCTAAACTAAGCTTAAGAGTATGGAAGAAGGGATTGATCTTTGTGAAGGAAAATGAGGTTATTTATAGGTGTTTTGAAGGTGCTGCACCGGATACCCGACCGGGTATTTGAGATACCCGACCGGGTATTTGTCAAAATCAAATATTTTGCCCACGATTTTGTGTTTTCTGCACGTCTTTTTGTCCGGGTCACTTCATACCCGACCGGGTAAAGGCTATACCCGACCGGGTAAGTCACCAAATCACATTTCTTGCATGATTTCTTGTTCCCTTGCACTTTCCTTTGATCTTGTAAGATCCCTTCCATGATCCTTTGTTGATTCTTGATTGTTTCTTGCTCAAGATGATTCTAAATTT